AAGAGAACATACAGACTAATAATAATTAGGTTCCTGGTCTGACTGTATGCCTTACTTCTCTCTACTATAAAACTTGAAACAGTTACCGGGGCTTCATAATAAAAAAAAGATTATGCCTGGAAACACATTGCTCACAAAACTAACTACTTAGTTGACAACTTAGACTCTCAGCTGCTAACTGTAAATGTACAATCCAACTTTTTCTCTGCCGGCACTGATTTGCATACCTAAACTCAAGGTATCTGCCAATACCAGCGATCCATTTTTCCACAAATTTAAAATCTGTATAGCTCACTGCATGGAACTCATTATGATCATTTCTCTGTAAGGTAAAATGAGGCCAGGGATTGCTGTGGCACTAAAATCTGAGTTGGAAGCCCGCCATTACTGAATGAATGTAACTGATTGTGGATACAGTGGAATTTATGATGATGACATTGACAAAGAAACATCATTGCTGTAACCCAATCGGCTTAATAATATAGTATTGAGGATGGTGCGGCGTATCAGATCGTTGCATTATGCACGTGAACCAGGGATACCGTGATTCATGGTCAGTGCAGGCCACCAGCGTGTTTGATGAAATCGATTACAGTCAGAATTTTGCCGTTATAAATGCTAGGGAATTACCTGAAAAGCTGAGCTGTCAGTATATCTGTGCCTACAGCAGTAAAACCTGTGCCATTTGCATTTATTGCACTAACCAACTTCTGTAAATCTCATATGAACAGAAGCTCAGAAGCCCCAAAGCCAAAATTTTGTAAAACATTCCTCCCTCTGATTCAGCTTCTAAAAATGTCCTGACAAGAAGCTGGGCCTCAATCTGTGGCCAAAAACATCACAGGATGAGGATTAGTGTGGAGCAGCATTCAGTCCATCATTGTGATGCTCCTCTATTACCTACATGGCTCTACTTCCCTCTGGTAAAGTCGGAGTAAACCACACACTCCCTGAAACAAAAACTGGAAAATCACAAGGACAAAAGAATGAAAATCAAACCCAGTGACACCATATTAATAATAAGGCATATCACTTGATTAAACAGTAATTAGAAGCAACTGGAGTGGTGGTTAGAGGATTGAACCAAATAACTGACAAGGAGAGAGGAAAGTAAACAGTTAAGGGGACAATGACCTTCTGCCTAATGAGCCACAGTCCTTTAGAGTCCGCCTATTATCCTATTAATGGATCCAGGAGGAATTCCTTCAGATGGCATTAAGGGTTCCCCTGGAGAGACCTAAACCTGGGGGGGCAGGGCCAGAGGGGAGGAAGAGGCCCTCGGTTTTATTCCTCCATGTGCTTCATGCATGGCCCCCCTCATTCAGGTCAATTGGTCATGCACTTCCTCCCTCTCCACTCTTACACACACACACACACACACACACACACACACACACACACACACACACACACACACACACACACACACACACACACACACACACACACACACACTAAACACTCAAGTGCACATGTCCGAGCAAGGAACCAAAACAGTGCGTCCCCTGCTGTCAGGGGGGCCCGGGGCCCATCAGAGCATCTGGGGCCGAGCTGGTCGGCAAGGGTGGAGATCAACACTGTCAAACCTCAAAAGGCTGCAGCCGTCTCAACAGCAAGTCTTAGCAGTGAGAGGGGAGGCTCACTGCTCACTCTGGGAGATTTTCAACCACAACATATTTTATTATTTTAAGCATAATGCGATACCGATCACTGAGTGCATGTACAGTATGTGTGCAACACACTCAGGCCAGCGGAATGCTAACAAAGAGAGGGTAGGGGGGAAAAGCAGGAAGCGTGGCATCGAATTACACAGGACTGATTGGTGTGTGCATGGCTTAGGTCAGGGAAGGACAGGGAATACGAGGCCTGGGGTTGTAGGCAGAGCCACATGGTGCAGATGCACTGCTGACCGCTTACACCAGGGTAAACACGCTGATGAGATAAAAGCCGACACACATTGAGCAAAACTGCTCATGTATTCCTCCCTTCAGGCCAGACAATAAAAATCCCCATGAAGGAAACAGGATATATTAAAACGTGACTCCTTTTTGGGGTAGGCGTGGCCTATTTCTGAGAGAGAAACAGAGAAAGAAAGAAATCCCTCTCCACTTCAATGTGTTCCAGATGGTGATGTAATTTTATTTCTGGAAACGCAGAGCTGACTCCGACTCCGGCTCGCCACAAGTGATACATAAACTGAGCAAGGAGAGTCACACTGTGCAAGTCTGCAGAGCGCCCCGCCACAGCACACAAACTACACACACACTACTTTATCATTACTGCAACTTGAAGCAGAGTCTGATGATTCCAACCACATATATAACAGGGAAACAATGCCACTACTGAGTTTGTGTACGTACTTGTGTGAGGACTCAATCGGTGAAGGCCTTTAAAGCTCCAGTGGGATACTGGCATCCATTTAAATGCCACATACTAAGGAATGTTAACCAATCAGACGGGGTCAGAGGGATAGGCATTTAGAAAGGGTTCAAACAAGAGTGAGTGCCAACACATGGGTCAAACATTACCGCAAAATGGAGGGAAAGCAGCAGCATTGTTATGACACTTAATAATTAATAATTAATTTCTCAAGGCAGACATTCTCACATGTCAGTGGGAAAAGCTGTAATTAATACCATTAACAATGGCTGCATTCCCCGCAGGTGAGCCTCTGCTACAGTCCTGGTATAGTGCATGCTGGCTCATTTGGATGGCTTAGGACACCAGTGCAACTGAGCCATCAATAATGTTGTTAAATAAACCGGTGTGCATTTCCTGCTGAGCACAGTCAAAGTCTGCAAAACAAAATGTTATGTGATATAACAAAACAATCACTAAGTAGTCTCTACATACCTCAACAATTCTCTGTAAAGCTCAAATCAAACAAACACCTTATGGATGTGACAACTGGGAGCAACTGTTTGTGATCACTTGTGTCTGCGTCTGACTGAAGTAAAGAGAAGACAGCCCCCTGGATTGTAGCAAGCTGTATAGGGATCTACATAAAATGCAAAGTCACTATGACCAATGGTCAGAATTACAAAAAGACCTAGGTTGGAAAAATACCAGAATATTCCTTTCATAAGGGCTGACATTTTTAGTGGATAGTAATCATCAAGCAAAAACAGCAAATATTCACTGGCTCCCATGCACGATATCCTAAAGCCCAAGATGGCATTTTTACATTGCTGGTACTGTCTGACCAACAGTGAAAGAAAGACAAAGAGAGGCATCAAATCCTCACATTTCAGACAGCAAGACCGCTGCTCTGCTTTTTTGCTTTAAAATGACTTCTATGGTCGCAGTCAATTGATTTTCTGCCGATCAACTTAATTAACAGCTTGTTTCAGCTCTAGAGCAAAGATTACTCATTTTACTCATTGGTTTAAGCTCAGAAAACTGCAGCACTCAACAATAACGCAGCCATTAAAACCACACATATAAAAGGAAGAAAGAACATTTAAAGAATAATATGTTATGATTTACTGTATAATACGTATCAAGTTATGAGTCTGGTGTCACAAAATGAATCCCATTTCAGTATTCAGTGCCCTGTATCTTCAAACTATAGAATGTTATGCTAATGAATGCTCTTCAACATACATTCACTGACAAGCTACCCAGGCTGCCTCTGCTGCAGTGTGTGCAGCCTCCTCATATCAGTGCAACTGCATGCGAACGTGCAGGTTTATGACAGAACCATATTAGACCTGACACCCTAACCCTAGCCCACACTGTCCTTCATGTCTCTGCTCCATATCCTTTAATCCCCACTGAACTACATCCTGTTGGACGCTGCTCGGGCTCGAGCACTGCCACAGCATGAGGGACAAGTTAAGACTCCCATTTTCCCCAATGGGGACTAAACCTGCTAAAAATATACACAGCCCCTGAACAGCGATGGTGTTCTCACCTGTCAAATAGGGTTGAGGAGAGGGCATAGCAATCGCAGGAGGATTTTGCTGGGGTGATAACGCTGTGCCATTGTGCAGGAAATTATTCTATTGTTTTGCGGCGTGGGGATTAAGGTACCCAGAGTGCTCGGCTGTAATGGATTTATTAGAGAGCAGGGCATGTGGCAAATCTCTTATAAAACACAAATCTACAGTAAATCTTAGCCCCCCCATTTTTACATCAATATTCAAGCCATGACATTTTCCGCATATACACACACATCATGTCTATGCTTATAATGTCAATATGCATTGCACATCCATTTTAACACCACGTAGGATCCAGCTTTCATTTATTATGTCTCGCTCATTGTTACATCCTGCATATCAATGTACTGTCATGATGGCTCCTGCCCTTTCAGACTGTACTGCCTCTATAGAGCACATAATTGACACCAGAGTGCATTCAAGAAATCCAAATTTGTCTCAATCTAAGCTACTGCTATATTATTTATTTGGCTGCAATCACCCAATTCGACTAAGGGGGTGAACAAAGTTTCCTTTCATCTATATCAGTCTTTTTACTTGAATTACCCTTAAAAAAAATGAAGAGAATTTCAGAGGAGGCAAAATGTTGCAGTCTCGCCCGTCCACACTCCACAGGTTGCTACAAACACAATTAAAACCACCACAAAGAGAAATACATAAGCTGTCCCTGAATGCCACATGTGACAAGTCGAGCCCTGGAGCCAGATGTGTCCGCCACCACCGCCACCACCATGCCATGATGGAGCAGGGGAGCGAAAACAAAGCAGAGCCGTGCGTGGGGAGGGGGAAGCAGAGGAGGACTCCCACCGCTGCAGGCAGCCTGTATGCAAAGCAGCGGTGCACGCGGCGTTGGTACAATTCCGTCAACAACACCCTATATGATCTTCCTGTAGTCATTTTGCATGAGACCCGTTACATTACGGCTAAACAATACCGCGCGAACGCGTTGGTGTGCGCGCGTATCCAAACACGGAACACGCCGCGTGGAACGCTGCAAGCCAGCACCGCCACCATTGACCGTAATAATACAGAAACACACAAACACAAGAGTTGACCAACCTGCAGGTGTTGCTCCAAATATCCGCACCACCGGCACTTTCTTCACGTCGCTCTCCCTGAATTCAGAATAGCACACGTCCAGGTCTTTTATGGGACTCGCCAGGTAGTAGTCTGCGGTGACGATACGCACGGCAAACATGACTGCCGCGTCCGTTAGAGAGGGACCGACCGACAGAAAAGCCAAAAAACTACTGTTAAGAGTCCATAGGATGCGGGGACCTCGGTGGCCAGCAGATACCAGCCGAGGGGAGTGCTGTCACGGCGGCAAAACAACGACAAAGCGGAGGGGAAGCCCGGTTGTGTCCCATGAAAAAAACGCGAACAAAGATTCCCGTGGCTTAAGCGCGCCCCGAGGTGCCGCCGCCGCCGCCGCTGAGGTTCAGCTGCCGGCCGGGGGGAGCTACACTCGACGGCGGCGGGTAATTACTGGACGCTCCGCAGCTGTCGGGTCCATGTTATTCTTGAATAGTAGCTGTCCCGTGATTTAGCTGTCTCTATGGTGTTTTTGTTTTCAGCCAGGAAGACGTTCCCGGGGCTTCCGGTATGTAGCGTTATCTTTCCAAATCACGCCACAGAACTAGTCCCAGCCAGTCCGGTTTTATCAGACAGCCCCTCGGTTGTGCTCCTGCTTCCATAACAGGCTAGCCCACGTTAGCTAACCTATGATGTAAGCTAGTCAGAATGCATAACAACAGTACTTCCGGCTGCTTTCTTCAAAATAAGAGCACGGTTGAACGCAAACATGGTTTCACCAATAATATCCGAAAAAAATCCTGTTTGGTATTTTCAAAATAATAGCACAGAACTCTGAACAGTAAAACTGGAATATTACAGATTCAATGCTTTACCGTCATTTCAATATAGATGGGAATTTGTTTTGGTGAGCTTTTATAACAGGGCATCACATACAGTCACTACACTGAGACATTAATAAAGTGGTAAGAGAATGGCCATAGTTAACTATGAGCCCTTTATTCTTAAAATTATACATAAATAAAACAAGCATTCCCATGGGGATGCTATCAGCACAACAAACCAAATATATACTATTGTATACATGCCATTACTGAGTTTTACATGATTGAGAAGCTATGGACAAGAATGAATGGTAAGTGCTGTTGCAGAAACCTGGCTGCATACAGGTCTGTATGTGTCTTTTATAGGAAAGGGTTAGTATTGTAATGTAACTGTATGTGGAATGATGTGTCAAACATATGCATGGATTGAAATTCAGCAATTAAAAAAGGCTCGACCTGTAATGGTAATACTTAATACTTAATTCAGTAGAGCCAGTTACTGCTCCCAAATGGTTCAGACCGCATTTCTTCCTCTACAGGTGATAATTGCAAACTTATTGAAGCCAGGGTCACTCTGCTCTCCATCCACAAGAGTGCTATTCAAACCATCTGTTTCTTCTTTTCGCACTGCCTTTTTGGCTAAATGGATGAAATACAAGAATACAAATACCCTCATGTCCTGTATGAGGCAACCTGCAGACACAGACGGAAGAACTGAGAAATCACATGTGAGCAATTTGTTAGTACGCCTCCAAAATATATGAATATTAGGATATTGTGTTTCTCAGTTTATGTATATATATATATGTACATAAGCAGAACATCTTGTTCATCACGTAAAATGAGCAGAGCAGACCCTCCCCTCAGGCTCAGAAGTGTCCATTAAACCAGACTGAAAGCTTAGTTATTGATCTGTTAGTTATATATGAATTTAATCCTGCACAGGAAGCTTGGGCTCATATCTAATTCACTGTTTGTGTAATATGAGAGAAGTATATTACTGAAATTGCACTACAAGCCTGATGGAAAAGTACTTCTAGATTTTAAATAACGAAAGGTAAAGGGGGTATAAAAAATGGTATATCTTTATACCTTTGCATTTGTCTGAAAGCTTGGTAATCTTCAATAATTAAAGTATACAACAATTATATGAACCACAAGCAGTGGTGCAGCAAGCACTGTCCCCCTTGGTAGACCTTTATTTTGTAACTATATGCACCTCAACTGCAAAACAGGAAACAGTATTGTGGAACTTTATGTAAAGCTTGAAGACATTTCACCTCATTACCTCTCAGAGTCAGAACAAGAATAGACCCAGATCAAAGAGCTGGAAAACGTCACTTTCCTCATTGGCTGATATATTTCCTGTGATTAGGGAAAGAAAAGAGCCATCATAGAATATATCTAACAAAAAGGATATCACACAATGAAACATCAAACCCATGAAGAAAGATACAGGAATATTTTAGGTCTATTCAAAAATCCATCAAGAGCAATTAGGATATTTTAACTCCACATATACACTGTAAGCCTATATGTGAATATTACATTGATACCAAAGAGGACGAAATGACCATAGGGAGATGAATGTGAGGTCACCACAGACTGTGACATGTTTTAACCTCTTAAATATTTATATTATTTATATGTATTATTGACAAGGGATATAGTGATTTTTCATGAAGGCACAAACATTAATATTGTAGACAGGTCAACACAGTCTTATGTAGCATATACTGTTTCTCCTATCATTGTTCAAATTCAGAAGTTATTCACAAATATATTCTGGCATTTGTAAGAACCAGTGTTCTTAAATTTGACAGTTTTTGCCCAAAAAATAGTGCCTACGGAAAATGTTAAAAAACAAACAAATATACCAATATATATTACTTGTAAGTCAGTGGGGTGGCACTGGGGGACTAAAATCCTGGGTGCGTCCCTGCTCCTGTGGAAACTCTTTACTTTATTCAGGATTTGAAAGATGAAAAGATTTCTACGTTGAGCGTGAGAAATAAAAAAATGTTCAAATGGACACATCTGTAAATGTCTTCATTCTGAATTTGAACAGAATTCAGTTAAAGGACCAGTGTGGAGGATTTAAAGGCTTCCATATTGCAACCAACTGAAACCTTTTGACATCCCTTTGCCACAAAACTCTCGAAAGGCCCTATCTAGAGCTAATGTGTGGTTTATCCATTCTGGGCTACTGTAGAAACATGGAGGTACAATATAGCAGCTTTCATTGAAGAGGACCCGCTCCCTCTGTAGAAAAACACATCTATTCCTAGATTCAGGTAATTTTACACTACTAGAAACATATAACGTCATATACCTATGAATATTATATTACATTTCTGCCAGTAGATCCTCCAAACTGTTACACACTATGCCTTTAAATACCTAATCAGTGATAACCATAGCTGTTTTAGTCTTTGAACCTCTAAAGCACATTTTTCCTGTGACTCCACAAGACCCCTCATGAGTGCTTCACCAGCGGTGTGTGCGATGCCTCCTACACATCTTCGGGCTGTTCAGTATTCCACTCAGATTCCTGTAATGGCCTATACATGGCAGGCAGCAGTGGTGGATGTGCTGAGCTCACTGCTTTCTCCTCTCCACTGAAAGAGCCATAACGCTCCAAACAGCTGGTTCGGTCCGGTTCATGCCGGGGACATCGCAGCCAATGACTCCCCGATGATGAAAAATGTTTCATTAGCATTTTCATCTAGATGGAGAGGGAACCTGTCTGCTGGAGTGTGTGTGCTGACCTTGAGTGAGAGCCTGGCCCTCTTAATGAACCAATCAGCAGGCAACTGCGCATGTTTGCCAGAAGCACGCCTGAGGTCTATGAGCGCATATGAGGGGCACATTTAACATCAAACTAATCCAGAAATATTATATATGCCATATTTAATGCAGTGTTTGGGGGGAGCTTTTTTCTAAAGTGCTTAACAGTACACTGAGTGCATACATTTCTAGTATGGATGGCCTCAGTAGGAGCAGAGCCTCGGACTGTGATGGTGAAAAGTGCCATTCTTTACTCACTTCTGTTTTTAAGGGTGTGTTCCTCTGAAGTGACGATGATTATGGAGGTGAACTATTAATGTCCACAGCAACAGACACAACGTCCATTAAATTCCAGCATATTCAGCATAATTTGCATAGTTGTCCTGAGATCCTCCTTGACATTCCTCCAATTGTTTGTCCTCTGACTCCTCTGTAATGACCTTTGACCTCTTCCTAGTGGACGCTGGGATCAGTTTGGGTCTGGTGTTCACAGACAGTTGATGATGTCTATTTGTGGTGTTCAAATGGTTCCTTTCCATACATCCGTCACTTGAAGACAACTCATCAAACTAAACTACTGATGAAGACCATGCTGTTAAAGGTCCCGTGTGTAGCATTTAGTTGCATCTAGTGGTGTAGTTGCAACAACAATGCCCTCGCCCCACCCTCCCATTCCAAGCGTGTAGGAGAAACTACGGTGGCCACGAAACGCGAAAGGCCCTACATGGTGGTAGAAGAGGACACACTCTCTCTGTAGATAAAAACAGCTCATTCTAAGGTAATGAACACAACAATTCTTATTTTCAGGCGATTATACACTAATGAAAACACACCTTTAAAAGTGGACCTTGAGTTAACTTTTTTCCATCAAACGACAATTCCCAAGCTCAGGTATGAACTTTCATGTTCAGCTCAAAAGTGTTTTTGTAGTCAGATGTTAACAGTAAAGACACCACTTAACTGGTGTAGGATACACGCAACTGAAACACTCCCAATCAGGAAGCCATAGGAGATAATGAGAATTCCTTTTTGGACTTCAAGAACCACAGTACATCATTTTTGGCTACAAAACATTTGCATTCATTTCATTCATATACTTTTTGGAGCCATAAAACACGGTCCTGTTACGTGTTGGGAGAAAGTTAGGATGACACTACCTTATAAGGCTACTGTGCTGTGTGTTCTGGTGCACATCCCTCAGTAGAGATGATTTACATCAGAAAAAAAGGCCTCTGACTATGACTCCTCTCCCTTCATTATTAATCCTTATTTAGAGCAATAAAAACAATTCTCCATACTTGCACTGCAGTGATGGAGGCAGGCTGACCTGACTGTATGTGTCAATGTGTCCCATCCACCCTGGATATAAAATGTAAAAATAGAATTGCAAGAACAAATGAAGCAGGAGAGACTAGGACAAGAGCACTTCTCATTGGACATGAATCAAGGGTTGTTTTGATCCCCATAGGCCATTTCAGGAGGACTGATGCTTGTTGTCATGGATATACTGTAGATGTAGGAAAACAATCATAAAAAGAGCCAGTGTTGTGAGTGTATTTTACAAGCAGTGGGGTAGATGGATAGGGGATCCGGGCCCTTCTGGGAAAATATCTGCGTCTGGTTGCTTTGGACTCCGCAGATAAGGCAGAGTGTAGTGGCACATAAGTCCTGGAACAATAACAAACAGTGGATTTATTGGTACTAGCAGCGCTTGTGTTTATAGACAGCACTCTCATGCAGGAGCTGATAAGCAGAGTTCCCCTCATACACACTGATGTGAGCAAATCATTTTCCTGTCGGGTTCGGTAAACAGGGTTGAACCAGTCTGTGCACACTGACAGGGCACAGATGATGAAGTTCAGGGTGAAAACCGGCAGTTGGACGTGTCCCACACAGTGTTGGCTTATCAGAGAGTCAGTGTTCAACAATAGACAGACTTCCTGTGCCCCGTCTACAGATCCTATATCACACTGTTGCTCTCATGACAGTTTCTCTTTTTCTATAACTGCAGTCAGAATGAAAATCGGATATCCTCACCGGTTAGTCAAAATAATGACATTCAATAAAAATGATGTAAAAACA